CAGTCTGTGGTACTTTGTTATGACAGCTTGAGCAGACTCTTACTTATAGGCCTTCAAATCCCAGCAGGGGGAGTTCCTTGATTCCGTGAGTCCTCCTGACTAGGTGTGGCATTTCTAGAAGCCCATTCGTTTTAACCACATCCCTCTACAGTCAGGTAATGTGGATCTGTAGCCGTGCTCTGGAGACCGGCAGCATGATTTTGGTAAGAACAGGAATGTGTGGCTTGGTTGAAGGAGTTGCGGGGGTGAGGTTAGAGATGGACGATTACAGTTGTGACCCTCCAGAGATCCGTTGGCAGGAAAAGAAAGTTTATGGTGCTTTTGTTGCCTTTTTCATTCATCTGGAACTTGTTTCTGTTCTGCTTAGGTTGAATGAAGAAGTGATTTGTCTAGGAATGACCTAGACGAACTTCAGCCCTTTAGTCGAGCAGCAACCCTATTTTTCTTCCTGCTCCCTCCAGCTCATCCTTTTTTAGTGGTTTAAGTCCTTAGCGTGCAAGGCCTTTCCTCTCAGCTCTGCAAATATCAATCTGACTGGTAAATGGAGAGGGTCTTGTGGGCCCCGCTTTCCCACCCAGGCCAGTTTAGCTGTGATGTAACCGATGCCATGGGGCGTTATTGCCGTAAAACTCTACTAGACAGGCGAATTCAGGCCAGTGTGATGTTCCCAGGCCTTCATGGTTTAAAACCACATGCTCGGTTGGCTCAAATTGGTGCTTGTATTTGATGAATTCCACAGAAATGCCAAAAGCAGAAGAGAGATGTTTTAAAACAATTCATAAAATTGGCTGCTGTGTTGCCAGAGCATATCTGTTTGGTCCTGAGTGGTTTGCAGAAGTTTAGGCAGATTCTGTGGCAGAACTGGCAACGGTGGAAGACCTCAGAGGTGGTTCCCCTGAGGCAGGCTTGGAGGCCGACAGAGCACAGGCTGGCAGGCTCACGAGTGGACGCTCAGTAGCTACAGGAAATCCCTCTAGAGTTCTTCAGTTAATTCTCTCGCACGCAAACACAACTGTGTCAACTCTTCTCCACTCGCCCACATCCTTCAACCCTCAGATTTTACAGGGGTAAACGGATGGTGTCAAAGAGGAACTGTCTTATCTTCCCGGCACAGAAGTGTAAACTGACGTACATCTACCATTAGCCTTTCTGCTCCCTCCCTGCCGCCACTGGAAAAGCTCTTCCTTCTGTCCCCAGTGCCCTATGTTTTAGAGCTATCTTTCCGCACCATCCCAGGTGTCTTAGGATATAGTTATCTTCTTACTCATACTCTCAAGCCCTCCCTCCGCCTTTTTTTTTTTTTTTTTGGCCACAGCACGTGGCATGCGGGATCCTAGTTCCCTGACCAGGGATTGAACCCCTGCTCTCTGCAGTGAAATACAAATTCTTAACCACTGGACTGCCAGGGAAGTCCCAACCCCTTCCCTTTTTAAGCACCCCCAGGTCCTTCCTGTGGAAGACAAGCAAATCAATAGTACTTTTATTATTTTATTTATTTTTTTTTTTGCGGTACGCGGGCCTCTCACTGTTGTGGCCTCTCCCGTTGCGGAGCACAGGCTCCGGACGCGCAGGCCCAGCGGCCATGGCTCATGGGCCCAGCCACTCCGCGGCACGCGGGATCCTCCCGGACCGGGGCACGAACCCGTGTCTCCTGCATCAGCGGGCGGACTCTCAACCACTGCGCCACCAGGGAAGCCCCAACAGTACCTTTATTTGATTCTTCCCCCTCCTCCACACACCCGTTCTCTGGCCTCTTCCTTCACAGCCAAGCTTCTTGGAAAAGCTGTTCATCCTTCCTGTCTCCTCGCCGTCCACTAGACTTTCAGGCCCCTCTCCAGGTCCACTGACCAGCAGATACTCTAGCTCTCATCTTGTTTGATCTTTCAACAGCTCTTGATGTTCTTCCTTCTGGAAACACTGTCTTCCTGTGGCTACCGTGACATGACTCTCTCCTTACGTTCCTTCTGTCTTTGTCTGCTCCCGTCGGCCGTTCTAAGGTAGACGCGTCATCAGTGCTGATGCATTTCATCCTCTGGGCTCCACGAGGCCGTCTTGTCCTCATGGATTCACAGTGCTGGCAGCCTCTAAATGTGAGATCTCCCGCCCAGGCTTCTCTGAGCTTCGGATGAGTGTGTCCCACCATTTTCATACTGTTTCTTCCTCATGAAATCCAAGGGCACCTCCTAAAATGAAAGTGTCTAGAACGCCTCCGTCCTGGCCCTCTTCCAGTACTCCCTGTCTCTGATTGGCAGCGGCATCCATCCAGATGCCTACGGCAGAAATCTCAGTGTCATCATTCTGGTTATTGTCTCCTTCTCGGCCACCACATCTAGCCCATCAGTAAATCCCACTGGATTTTACCTGTTACATTTTTCTTTTCTTTCTTTTTTAAAAAAAATTTATTTATTTTATTTATTTATTTTTGGCTGCGTTTGGTCTTCGTTGTTGCACGCGGGCTCTCTCTAGTTGTGTCAAGCGGGGGCTACTCTTCATTGCGGTGCGTGGGCTTCTCACTGCGGTGGCTTCTCTTGTTGCAGAGCACGGGCTCTAGGCGTGCGGGCTCTAGAGCAGAGGCTCAGTAGTTGTGGCACGCGGGCTTTGTTGCTCCGCAGCGTGTGGGATCTTCCCGGGCCAGGGCTCGAACCCGTGTCCCCTGCATTGGCAGGCGGATTCTTAACCGCTGTGCCACCAGGGAAGTCCATGTTACATTTTTCTTGATTCCACCTAATTTTCCCCAACTCTGCTTCTGCCCTCCTGGTCCAAAGCACCATCCTCTCTTGCCTGGACGACTGCAGCAGATAACCTGCGTCTGTTCTGAACCCCTCTTTCTGTTCTCACACTGCCAGCGTAATCCTTTCAAAGTGCAAATCTGATCGTATCAGCCCTATATTTAAAATTCTTCCCAGTGTTCTCAGGATAACGATGAAGTGTCTTAACGTGGCCTCTGTAGGGTCTGGCCCCTTCCTGACCCACCAACCTTGTTCCGCTGTCATGTTGGTCTCCCTAATGTTAAGTCACCTGGACAGGTGTTTTTACTGCATGTCCTCCTAGCTGCTTCTCGCCTCTCTAGATTTCAGCACAATGTCACCTTCAGGGAAGGCTTCCTCCTGCCTCTACCGCACCTGTAACTGGATCAAACCTCTCTATCCTGACGCTCAGAGTCTTCTGGGACTCCCCCTTGTTTCCTTTGTCTCAGGTACTTCTTTACTTTTCTTGGGAAGGTTTTGTTTCCTGTCTTTCTCACTAGACCATATGCTCCATGAAGCAGGCACCATGACTGGTCTCCCATCCTTGTATTCCCAGAACCCAGCAGAGCGACCCAGTGATGTGTTGTTGAATGAATAAATGGGTTTGAAGAACAGGGTTTGAGTCCCAGCTCTGGGCAGCTGTGGTCTGAATCCCACTTTTCTCATCTGTCAAATGGAGATATTTTTGCCATCGTTTAGGATTCTTGGGAGGAAAATAATTCATCTCACAAACGACAATTGTTTTGAATGATTATTCTCTCTCATTGTAAGGTTGGGTCTTATGAATGTGACAGTGGAGATGATCCTAAGTCAACTAATGCCTTTATTGTTTTTCTCATATAACACAGTGGCAGGGGACGGGGAATATAGAAATGAGAATCTCATTAGAAAATCATATTTATTTGAAACGGTGGTGGGGAAGATGAACCTGAATAAATAGACACTTAAATTTTTTTACTTTTACTTTTTTCATCATGAGAATTCTGAGTGATCATTGAAGGTAATTTGGATGATATAGAAAGGCAGAAGAAAAGAAAAATCACCCATCTTCCCACCTCCCAAACACATTTTCCCACACTCTCAAATAGTTCATCAGAAGTCAAGTTACGGGATGAAAGAGTTTAGATAATTATTCCCTAATTGGTCTCCAGAAACGTTGTGCCAGTTCATACATGCACCAGTAGCGTAGGGCAGTGTCCACTTCCTGGCACCCTTGCCACGTCTGGGTTTATGAAATACAGACATGCACTGCATATCTAGATGCGTATTTAATGGGTGGAAATGGTATTTGATTAAATTTGCATTTGTAATGCAAGTTACTCCTGAACTTGGACATTCTCTTGTTAGCCATTGGCATTTTTCCTTCACCAATTACCTGTTATTTTTTGCATAATTTTCTTTAGGAGTGTTTCTCTTTTTCATATTTACTTACAAAACCCTCTTTACATTAAGCCCATTAACTTTTTAAAAATCATACATGCAAATGTGAGCTTCAGTAGAACCCTTTCACATGATCACAAGTTCAAGGGTTAACTTATACTTTATTAATGACAACTGGTTTCTCTCTCCTTTTAACATTTTGCCGCTTGAATTGCATGCTAAGGAGAATGTGTGTGAAAAGAGTCTGGACTTTGAAGTGGGACAAACCTGATTTCAGTCCTAGCTCTGCCACATTCTAGCTGAGGGCCTGGGACAAATTACTGAGCCTCTCCACGTCTCAGATTTCTCTCCTGACGAACAGGAATCCTCTCGCCTTGCTTTGAGAGGTAAATAGCTTATGGATGGAGCCGTGTGCAAAAGTATGTTCTATAAATACTCACTCCCTTTCCGTACCCCTCAAAGATGTGCTGTTCTGTACGTACATCTGTGTACGTGGATTTTGTTTCACTAAGGAGCACGCGTATTTTACTCCATTTATAGCCCGATGTGCAATCATGCGTTAATATTTACTGAATAGCTAACTGTGATCAAAGTACCAGCGAGAATAGAAAAATTCTTAGTGAACCGTGCACTGTTTGCATCTAGGAGAGATTTTTAATTTTCAAGCTCAGGGATAATATTAGCAAGTTCGGATCCGTTCTATAAACATGGGAGACAATGTAAGTTATGGCATTCTGGAGGGAAAAAAAAGGCACAGACCACTTTAAATCCTCAAAAATATTTTGATTTTAAACAGCTCCTAGTGGAGTCTCAAAATACTTGCACTCTCTCATCGAGAATTGATGTCTCAGTCTGTTCTCTTTTCCTTTGTAGGTGTGGCTGGATCTCTTAAAACCTATTGTCAAGCAGATTAGAAGTAAGTATAACCCCCCACGCCCCCCCCACCCCCCCACCCCACCCCCGCCTGTTTAACAGTGATGTCAAATATAAAGCCAGACGTCTTCCTGGTCTAGGCGTCGTCTGCCCTGTGGTGTCAAGCACTGGGGCCATACTTTCTTTTTTTACCCCGTGATTGCGTTTCAGCATCCACTAATCCACGTACTATTAAATGAATCTTCTGCAATTTTAATATATAACAATTCGGTAATCAAAACTTGGAAAACAAATGTCATTTTAATTAAGACTAAAGCAGGCTCTTGAGGCCCAGAGCAGTTGAGCTCGTCCAGTCTGTGCCCATGTTTCTTACTGTCACTTTGGAAGAGGGGAGGTGGAACCATTTATTCATAAAATTGCTATGAGGTTTTCGGTGCTGCCTTTTCAAAGCCTGTGAGATCAGAATGCAAGTGGTGTTTGGAAAAATAAGGTGCGCAAAAGTGTGTGTGTGTGTGTGTGTGTGTGTGTGTGTGTGTGTGAGATTGGCAAGCAGGACAGAAGGGAGTCTGCCTTGCATTTAGACCATGTTGTCGAAGGAAAGATAAAGGAGGGTCTAGGAGAGAAGTAAGGAAAGGGAACACTTGCTTTTTCCCTCCCTTCTCATTGTGTGTCAGCACCAGACCATCCTCCCCTCTCTCCGCTGTGAGGTCAAGTTAAGAGACAAGCTCTCTTCTCCAGTTCATCCCAAATTGTCCCTCACTGCAGCCAGAGACCAGGCAAGAGACTGAGGATGGTAACAAAACTGCATTCCTTTAGTTGAACAATCACACAATACCTCTTGGGGTCGGTTTTATGTCTGATTAAGAAACCCCACCAGTGCAATGGTTAAGAATCCGCCTGCCAGTGTAAGGGACACGGGTTCGAGCCCTGGTCCGGGAAGATCCCACATGCCGCGGAGCAGCTAGGCCCGTGCGCCGCAACTACTGAGCCTGTGCTCTAGAGCCTGCGAGCCACAACTACTGAGCCTGAGTGCCACAACTACTGAAGCCCGTGCAACTAGAGCCGTGCTCCGCAACGCGAGAAGCCACCGCAGTGAGAAGCCCGCGCACCACCACGAAGACCCAACACAGCCAAAAATAAATAAACAAACTAAGTTTATTTAAAGAAAAGAAACCCCACCAGGCTGCTTACAGCAATTTATGTGGCTGTAATAAACAGGCACTGTGTTGAGTGGTCTTTACGCAGTTGAAATTGATATTGATCTTCTATCATTTAAATTAAGCAATCGTTAATGCAGAAGACGAAACAGCCGTTGTTCAGCATTTATTGGGTGGCTGGCCTAGGACTAAGTGTGGAGGACACATTGCTGTGAGAAGCCGCCAGGCCTGAAGGCTGGAGGAAGCACAGCATCTAAAATGATGACATTTGTTCCCTCAGTAACCCGCGATGGGAGCTGCTGATGGTGGAAAAGTGTCAGACCCAGGACAGCGGCTGTGGTTTGGTTTAGCACCGGAGCAGAGGCTCTCCTTTTCATCTCTGTGGACTGTGACTCGCCCCGTGTGACAAAGCTGTCATTTTGCATTAGTGCTAGCATCTTCCTAGCTTCGGGTTTTCTAAGGATCCAAGTAGCCTCATTTAATTCCCCATCTGTGAAAATTGCTGGGAAGAATGAGCTAGACCTTCCCATCTTCCCCATTTTGTTCTTGCTATCTTGTGATCCAGAATTGACACGCGAGGATTTCTGTTAATTTTTAGAATGATCAGCGGGAAGAAGCCCGGCTTCTCTTGGTTTCAGTATTCCTGTGCCTTGTTTTTTTTCCTCCTAATTTTGTACGTATTGCCAACATCTTCATCTTATGATACATCATTTGGGGTTTTTTTCCCTAAGTTTGAGTGTGTTATAAAAATTAAAGTACAACATCTTTTGTCATGGTGAAAGGTAGAGCAAAAAAGACATTTTTTACTTTTATACAACTGCTGTTAAAATTTGGATTTCATCATAATACCTTGTATTTCATAGAACATAAACTTTTGCTGTTATTCCAAATGGCAGAACCTGTAAGATTGCTTTTGTATCGTGGCTTATACAGCAAAATAAACTCTGACTCAGGTTACAAATTATTATTCTATAATCTATTTGATGTTCTGTTTGAATTCTGGAAAGTTACCTGTCTCATTCCCAGTCTTACCCTGCCCACCCCCTCCCAGATCTGCTTCCTAATTTCGTTGGAACTTATCGATAAGATGGTGTATGAGACACCTAGTAAAGGCTTTGACTGACTGTGATGAACACAGTAGCCGCTGTACCTTGGAGAGAGTTAGAAATAATAAATCACGTAACTGATTTACCTTTTCGTTATCTCTTCCTTAAGCTGTCTAAAGCCTGTATTTGGACTGAAGCAGACAGATAAATTTTTGAAGACACATGCGTGCTTTTAAAATCTGGGTACAATTTACGTTCTCCAGGGGAAAAGTTTGATGCCTCAATGTAATGCGCCTGTCACAGTATTTTTAAAAACCGGGTATCTGGAACTTCCCTGGGGGTCCAGTAGTTGAGACTCCGTGCTTCCAACGCAGTGGGCGTGGGTTCCATCCCAGGTCGGGGAACTAAGATCCTACATGCCGTGCGGTGTGGCCAAAAAATATAATTAAAAAAAAACCCAAACAGGTGTCTGTCTCCCCACAATACGAAAATGCGAATTAGTAACCAGCGTAACCAGCTATTAAGGGACTTGGATGTTGGCAGAAGTGCTCTGGGCAGCTCGGAGTAAGACTTATTATTTGGTTTCTAATATACCCTCTTACATCTTTAATGGCATTTGAAAGACAAATCAATAAATGCTTTACTGCTTTTTCCCCCCTTTCTAGGGCCAAAGCATGTCGTTGTTAAGTTTGTGGTGAAATTCTTTCCACCTGACCACACACAACTCCAAGAAGAACTCACAAGGTTAGTGGTTTGGAAACTGGGTATTTTTTGCTGTGGAGCAGAGAGAGTGAATGTTCTAAGTCAACTGATGAAACACTTTCCCAATGTTTCCTTGACGAGCATCTGCCCTGTGCTTGACAGTTTAACCTTCCTTCCTCCCAGCTGTGTTTACAGACATGGGAAGAAAGTACCACAGTTTCCCTGAAAGCTGGTTTCTCGAAGGCTGTGCTATGAAGTATCTGGGCTTATAATCTGTTACTGTCGTATTTCCCCCTCTCATACCTGTCACATCACAAGACAGTTTTGGGAAATGAATCACTTCTGTGAAACCAAGATGTGAACTCAGTTTCTCTCTGTTGCTGCAGTGGGTGAATCGACATAAACTGTACGTCAGTTTCTTTGAAGGTGTGGCCAAGTGGGAGGAGTGTGGCCAAGCCCTGCCCCTGGTAACTGTGTGACCAGCCGGTTACCAAATGCCCCTGCACCTCTGTTAATTCCCGTGTCAACGTGACCGTAGTGCTTGCTTGGCCAGCGTGGTTTTGAGGATGAGTACTCGTATGCATAGAGTGCCCGGAACCCAGCAGGGATGCGATGAGTGACAGCCTCCATCATCCTCATCACCATCACCCACATCTTCATCCCTGCTACTACCCATTTTATAATTGACAGCAAGACACGTGGTATTCCAAAAGAGAGCAGAGCCTGGTGGGAACATGCAAAGATAAAACGCCTCCCTTTCAGGACTAGACTGCGCTAGTCTGACCAGCCAGATTCCTGCCGCACATGCCTTTCCAGCTTCAGCTGTTCAAGATGAGGGCTGTCATATCTTTCTTGTCCCTCTGGGTTGAGAGCCCAGTATTTTGGGTGGTTGAGTTTGTTAAATGGTTCGTCATTTATCAAAGAGATGAAAACATTCGGTCAACAGTATTGATGGAGTATACGTGGTGTGCAAGCCTTGTTCCAGGAACGGGGAGCATACTGGTGAAGAGACCGGCCTGACTTTCACGGGAACAGACACAATGATTAAATAAACAAGAAAAATATCAGATAATGGTAAGAGCCTTTAGGTAATGGGAGTAGATGATGTGATAGAAGGTGACGGGTGATGACTTCACAGTGCGTGGTCCGGGATGCTTGGGCTGAGAAAGCGACAAGGATCTGTCAGTCATTTTCAGAGGAAGAGCTCTCCAGGGAGAAGGCACGGTTAGGCAGTGCCCAAGGCAGAAACACGCTCCAGACGTTCAGTTACCTAAAAGAGGGCTCTCATGGCAGGAACATTGAGGGTGAAGTGCACTGAGGCGGGGCAGAGGCCCGATATACGTAGTGTTGAGAGACTGGTTGCCAGAGATACCGAGGGGAGGATGACAGGAAGAGATGGCAGTCACCCAGGCCAAGATGATGGCGGCAACGGAGGCGGTAGGAGTGGAAATGGAGAAAGCACGTGCATTTGGAGCACGTGCTGGAGGCGGGGTCGATTTGAATTTGTGATGGGCTGTGGGTGGAGGCTGAGGGAAGGAGAAGGGATGCTTAAGATTTTGACTTAAGCAGCAGCTAGATGGATGGGTGACGACTAGAATGCGAAGGGGTGGAGGGAAGTAGAGGACTGGGGAGGGTGGAGAGTCAAGGGTTTGGTTCTGCCAGCTCATGTTTGAGGTCCCTGCTGGACATCCCGGGGCTGCGTCAGGAGGGGCACCAGGGACACGAACGTGCGATTCCAGAAAGAGAGGAAGGCAGAGACTCTTCCCGTGGCTTCGCGTGTTCTCAATGAGTCACCGTTGGTAGTTTACCTCCACTTTCACCCCTCAAATGAATGAAGCAGCTAAGTGGCCAGGAGCTGCAGAGGCCGTCAGCCTTCTGGGAACCACATGCCTCGGCTAGGGCGCTTCCCGTGGAGAAGGGGCAGCTGGGGCCGCCGCCTGAGTTCCAAGCTGCCGACACCAGTAGCATCTTCGTGCCGTGTCCTTATCGGGGCTGCCGTGTCTCAGCTTCCGGGGCTGGTTTTCCCGTTGTTGAAAGTATGTTGCTCGAAGCTCAGAATATTGAAATGAATCTGAAGGCCAGTCCAGCCGTTGGTCAGCAGCGTGCCTTTTCCTCCCGCGTTTCACTGGGCCGTCATCCTGCTTAGGAAGTCGGCGGCGTGAAGTACCACTGCTCCCCAACCCCAGTCCTGTCTCCCCATTCTACTTTGCAATGAGTTTTGCACCTTTTCAGTTTTTGTGAATCGTCATCTCTAGAGATGTGTGATTTTCTACCATTCTGGTCCTCGTTATAGAATTCCAGACAGCTTGTGAGCGTCACGCCGTGTGTGTGCGCCTGGTATTTTGCCAGCTGTTCCGACCGATCTGATCAATTCCTCAAGTGACACAAGCTCAGCGGGACGTAGCAGGTTTGGGGGTTTGTTGTCGCTGTTTTCTGGCTCCCAGTGTTAACTGACATTTTGGACATCTTTTCCGAGGAGAGAATTCCTTTGGCCCTGGGGTGATAAAATTGGTAGGAAGTTTAGAAGGTCCCCGTTGCTTTCCGCTTTGTCACAAGGTATGCCGGGAAGGCGACTTCCCAGATCCAAAGTGGTGTTCTCCCACACTCTCAAATTCCTGTTCAAGCAGAAATTTAAGGATGGGACCATTGAGATGCCAGGCAGTTTTCTATGGCAGATGGTGAAGGAGGGAGCCTTTGGGAGAAGCCCTATATGGACACTACTTCCTAGGCGAAGGAGGTGCGGACAAGGGTGAGACAGACAGAAACGGGCCCGCAGTTCAGCGACTTTAAGTGACTGGAGCTGCAGCTGATTCTTCGGGCCTCCAGGAATAGCTTTCGGCTTCCCATTTATATAGATCGAAGATTAAATTGCACTTTGCTGTTAAATAAGAAGCTGAATTCCTTTCTATTTATTAAACTACCCTCTCACTGGAGCTCTTGTCCTACTGACACCAGGGCTCAGGCATCTAGAAGGAGAAAAGTACTGACTCCCAGATGCAAGTTTAAGACCGCTTGGGGGAGGGGTCTTTGGCAAAGAAGTTAGCAGGCTTGCTTCTGGCAGAGCTCAGAATCACTTGGCTGTGCTGGTGAGGTCAGACATACTCCACTACTCTCTGAGCATCGCATCTCACGTGGGATCCAGTTTCTACTTGGCTGTGTTCTTAAAGGTGCAGGGGACCTGTCAGAATTTGCTGCTCTGCGGGGCCTGCTGCAGTGTTGCCCTTTGGCTGCCAGAGACGTCGTACTGTACACTGAATAAGGAAAGAAAGATGAAGAGCTCCTGGGTGAAATAAATTGAAACAGGCATGTTTAAACCATGGCATCAAGATGGGTGTGATTTCCTCCCCTGTGGTCCCTGGAAGTGACAGCCCTCTGATTGGCCCTGCCGCTGTCATCGCCTCCCTCCTCACATCCCATCCTTCCTCCAAGGAGAGTTGATTCCGTTTTGAGCCCTTCATGTGAATTTGATTGGAGCTGCTTCAGTTTAGAATGCAAAAGGTGCTGCGGAATTTCTACAGTTAGCCCTGCAGCCAGCGTGCGGGACTTACAGCTGTCTTTACGAGAAGATGAGACGGTACCCAGGAAGGTCTTTCTCAGATTACAAGGGCCTTAGCACAAGTCAGCGTAATCAGGGAGTGACAAAGTCCTCCTGCAGTTGACAACGGGGCGCTCGTCCTCTGTCTAAATAGGTGAGCTCTCGGAACCCAGCGCCGTGTCGCCACCCACAGGAGACCCTCCCCAGAGGCCCCGAAGCCTGTCGGACCCTGACCCTGAGTCTGTCCCTGGACACAGCATCCTGTGTTTGAACTGGTAGCTGTTACCATATTCGAAACATCATGCTTTTAAAACATACGTTCTTCCTACTTAGGTAAAAACTAACCACACAGATAAGAATTAAAGCCTGTCGTTCTAAGTGTTGGCTTCAAGAAACAATAAGCACTGCCTAATCCAGAGATACGGTTTGTGCCACATCTTCCCATATAAACCTATGTGCTGATGTTTTGATTACTTTATATGCTCTGCCGTTCTCTACTTTGACTTTCCAAGGAGAGAGACAGAGACAGAGAGAGAAAAGAAAGTGAATGAATGAATGAATAAACATTACATTGGGGGGGTGGATAAAGGTCAGCTGTTGTCAACTACTGGATCTGTGGGTGTTTTTTTGTTTTTGTTTTTTTCTGGTTACAGAATGCCTCTGTAGTTCTTTAGTTCTTAATCATGGAATTTCCTAAATGACTTAAAGGGGATTCATTTTTCTTTTATTTAAAAAACAAATTGCTAACATATACTGAATGTTTTCATTCTGGTCACTATGCTTTCCATGTATTATCTCATTTAATTCTTAAGGCCACCTCTATGGTTAGTCGTGTTAAAAGCCCTTTCTTTGGGCTTCCCTGGTGGTGCAGTGGTTGAGAATCTGCCTGCTAATGCAGGGGACACGGGTTCGAGCTCTGGTCTGGGAGGATCCCACATGCCGCAGAGACACTAGGCCCGTGAGCCACAACTACTGAGCCTGCGCGTCTGGAGTCTGTGCTCTGCAACAAGAGAGGCCGCGATAGTGAGAGGCCCGCGCACCGCGATGAAGAGTGGCCCCCGCTTGCCACAACTAGAGAAAGCCCTCGCACAGAAACAAAGACCCAACACAGCAAAAATTAATTAATTAATTAATAAACTCCTACCTCCAACATCTTCTTAAAAAAAAAAAAGCCCTTTTTTTAAAAAACAAAAAGAACCCTTTGTTATTACAAAAGTAGCCAATGTACAGTGTAGAAAGTTAGAGTATACAGGTAAAGAAGACTAAGAAGATAAAACTGCTGTGTTCTTGCTGCCCAGAGCTGAGCGTTGTTAACACGTCAGTGAGAGAGCCTTTCTGATTTTTCCTGTGCATATACATGTACTGTTCATCTCATCTGGTACCCTGGCCGTACTCAAATGTCCCCCTTTGTTCCCCAGATGTCATTTATATCTGCTCATCTAACGTGAAATTCACTGTAGGACCACGTTCCATCTGGTTGTTATGCCCTTTGGACCTCTTAATGTAGCAGAGTCCCTTTTTTTCTCTTCGTGATACCATCTTGTTGAAGAAACCGAACCGGTCGTACTATAAAATAGCCTACCCGGGGCTTCCCTGGTGGCACAGTGGTTGAGAGTCCGCCTGCCGACGCGGGGGACACGGGTTCATGCCCCGGTCCGGGAAGATCCCACGTGCCGCGGGGCGGCTGGGCCCCTGAGCCATGGCCGCTGAGCCTGCGTGTCCGGAGCCTGTGCTCCGCAGCGGGAGAGGCCACAACAGTGAGAGGCCCGCGTACCGCAAAAAAAAAAAAAGCTACCTGCTAAATTTGTCTGGTTGCCTCCTGTTTAGCTTATTCCTCTGTCTTCTGTATTTCCTGCCAACTAGACCTTAGTTCTAAGGGATACGAGTTAAACATTCTTGGCTAGAATCCCATCCTAAGTGATGTCGTGTGTTCCCTGTTTCATTAGCGATGCTGAGATTGATCACTGAGTTAAGGGTGGTGACATTCTGACCTTTCCGTTGTGAAGGAAAGTCATATGACTTTGTATGCAAATGTCCAAACTCCTAAGTGGTTTTTATACTGATTAACAATCCTTGCCAAGTCAGTCGTTTCTTTAGAGGTGTGGGATGAGGGTTTTATAATTATGTTATTTTTGCTGTGTTATTTGTCGGTGTTCTTCTGTAAAGTAGAACTTTGCCCCGTCTACTTAGATTGTCTGTATATCCTGAAATACCCTTCCTACTGGAGAGGCAGATTACATGCCCAAGTTTTTGCCTTGGGTTACCAGTTTCCTAAAAAAGAATTTCTTGAATAGACTCCTCAAATGGTGATACATTCTACTTTTTCTGCTTTCTATTTTTATGACTATTATAATGGACTCATAAAGTTTTATTAGTTCCATGTGTTTCAGTTCACTTTAATCATTCTTTATTGCTACTCAAGTTGTCACAACTTTGGCCAGTGGCCGCCCCTTCAAGGTTTTTTTTTCCCCCTTTTAATATAACCCATTTATATTTGCAAGCTGCCTTGCTCTCTGGCATAACTAGATCTTCCAGGCTTGCTTTGTACCTTCCTCTGCCCCACACCTGGAGCCTACCATTTCTGCAAGGTCCTACCTCTGTATCCTTCTCATGGGTAGTTGTGTGAGAGCCAGAATCTGGTTGCTAAGGGTTGCTGCCGAAGTCATGCTCCTTCTAGACAGTGGGCAAATCTAGCAAATATCTTTCTAAAAATCTGGGCTTCCCTGGTGGCGCAGTGGTTGAGAGTCCGCCTGCCGATGCAGGGGACACGGGTTCGTGCCCCGGTCCGGGAAGATTCCATGTGCCGCGGAGCGGCTGGGCCCGTGAGCCATGGCCGCTGAGCCTGCGCGTCCGGAGCCTGTGCTCCGCAACGGGAGAGGCCATAACAGTGAGAGGCCCGCGTACCGAAAGAAAAAAAAAATCTATGCATTCATATTGATATTCTCAAATCGATTTTAACATCGCACTGTTTTTACTTAATTTCTTTGATTTATACTTTTTTCTTCCACCAAACATGTTACTTGCTTTATTCTACTTCATAAAGAAAAGAATTTTTAAATAAATTGATTTTTAAAGATCTGGCAACTGAGGCTTATGGAAGAAGCTGAGTGACTTATTACACCACAAAAAAAGACACTCTTGTGGGGCTTCCCTGGTGGCACAGTGGTTGGGAGTCCGCCTGCCGATGCACGGGACGCAGGTTCGTGCCCCGGTCCGGGAAGATCCCACATGCCGCGGAGTGGCTAGGCCCTTGAGCCATGGCCGCTGAGCCTGCGCATCCGGAGCCTGTGCTCCCGAAAAAAAGACCCTCTTGTGTTTCCAGTTCCATTGGCAAGGCTCTTCCTAACCATGATAGCCTATTGTTATTGTCTGAGCCATACAGCCATTTTTTTTAGTATATTTGACTGATCTGTGAAAAAATTTTTAATGTGTGCTATACTCTGCAAAAATAGGGTGGTAAGTTATAGTCTTAATTACTTATGGCTGTATCTCTCCATATAAAATGAAATGCATTACTCATTGTGTGGAAAGATTGCAGCATATGTCTCCCGGTGCTTGAAGGGAGGTGTGAATAGTTACACTGCAGCCAGTAGCACCAGGAATTCATCCTTCCTGTGCAGACTTTCTTGTTCTTCGGCTTATATTTCTTTAGGTCCTCACTGTGGGGGCGAGTTGCCAGGGAGCAAAGTGCGCCTGACTTTGTTGCCAAACCTCCCCGCCCTCTTTGCTTGACACCCATGTCTATGTGTCTGACGCCCGTCTCTCTTCGTATTCGCAGGTACCTGTTTGCTCTGCAGGTGAAGCAGGACCTGGCTCAAGGCAGGCTGACGTGTAGTGACACCAGCGCTGCCCTCTTGGTCTCACACATCGTGCAATGTAAGTTCCGTTGGTTTCCTTCAGAAATCATGTGGGAAATAACACAGTGATCTGCCTGGTGGGGAGAAAACTGACATCCACTGAAAGCAATAATGTCTTTGTCTTACGCTGCTATTAGCATGAAACCCAAGGGGTGGAAAACAGTCCTCCTAACTTTGTGTATATGGACTCCCCCACCAAACGCGGACCCGGGAATTTTGTGTTCTGCTGTTTGTCTCCTCTTTCCAAGGACTACGCGTTTGTTGAAAACTCAGTTGACTCAAAGGAGAAGCTTGGATACACGGTGGCAAAGTAGACTAAACTCGTTCTGTCCTGTTCTTGCATTTAATATTCATCATCGAATATGGCCCATTAGCCTTCAGACATAAAACTGTCAAAGATTTCCCTTCTTGTATTCTGCTCGAGAGTTCAGTAAACCAAGACACGTGAAACTGGACGGAACCCAAGTGATGCTTGAAGCTACATCTTTTAACTTTCTTCCTCTAGACAAAGGATAAGTTAGATTGTGCTCATTCGAAGGCTTCCTGACGACTCACCTGGGCATTTTTTTTTGGTCTTGGTCAAGGCAGAAGTTACTTGAAATGGAATATACACATTATGTTTCAGGAAGGAAATTATGTATATAGACGAAGGTCAACATCTAAAAGCACTAGTATAAAAAAAATTGTGTTAGCATATAATTCTAAAATTTCCATTGTATACAAAGTAGCCCCATATAATCAGCCCCGTCCTGTCCAGATAACTGCCCAGTTCACACGCTTTCCACAGGTTTGTAGGAAGGGTCACTCCCAGTAGTCAACAAATTACCTTAGTCCAAAATGATGAGGTGTTTCTAGAGACCATGCTTATCTTCTTTTTTGTGCAATGCCATTGTTGACTATCTGCCAGACTTAGTAGATGGATGTTTTATTTTTCATTTGAAAACATGATGTGAGAAAGAAAAGACAGGCCGAAAAGAAAAACGTAGGTAAACTTTGTAAACTTTACTATGTTCCAGCTCTGTGTATATTATCTCATTTAATTCTTATAACAACCCTGTGAGCTCAGTACTGTTATCCCCATTTTAAAATGAGGAAGCCCTGACACAGAAAGTTACGTAACTTTTGTCTTTCCCGTGTTTGGTCTTCTCTCTTCTTACAGTGACAGTGGACAGAGGAGGGCTTTGAATCAGGCAGACCTCGTTTCTGTTAGTTGATTGTTCACCCTGGCAAGTTACTAAGCCGCCAGCCTCTCTTTCCTTTGGAACAGGGGGATAATAGAATCTGTTTCATAACAGATGAAAATAAAATGATAGCATCAATATTCAGCATATGTTAGGTGTGCAATAAATATACCCTCCTTTCTTTATCCTCACTCACCTAGGGCCCTCCCTTTCCAAACAATGGGAAATTTCGACATAAAGCTTCCTTGCTGGAATAGCAACTTCAGCAAAGGTCTCTGACCCTGGGCCTTTGGTGAGAGAAGAGATTTAGTCGGCTATTCCTGATGCCATTCAGTCTTGTAGCCCCTTCCTCCTAAGGCCCTTCCTTTTTAAAGAAAGAGTGAATCTTCCTTTTTAAACATGCACACACGGGAAGTGGAGGGTCACGGGAATCCAGAAAACCATGTGCTTGGTCTGACGGACCCCTCACCCCCAGACACCAACAGGGGGGCTCAAAATCCCCTGAGAATCTTGAGTTCTCCAAAGGAAATGAAATAGGTGGGTTCAGAAGTATCTCTGCTGTTTCTATACTCTGTGGTGCGCCGTCGCGTGACACACTGTTTCTATAATCTCATACTTAACTCTGTGATGCGCAGTCGCGTGACACACTGTTTCTATAATCTCGTACTGAAAAAGCCCCGTTTCTGTATTTTTAAGCATCCTGTACCTTCTGTCATGGAAGGAGGAATTTCACAGAGTCCTCTGTGAACAGTGCGTTCATTTAAATTATTGGTAGTTATTGACGTCCTCAGTAAGGTAGGAGAGGTCAGCTCATCTCCCTCCTGAAGAAGCGATATTAATGCTGGTGGAAAATGATCTCTAGGGAGCTACATTTTCATCTCCTCTGTATCTATACACGCGATCTGATTTTTAAAAAAATTTTCCTCCCTTTCATTTGAATTCGTGGAGTCATCTTTCACATAGTCTGTAATTGTTTTCGTTGGTTCCTCTGTTACTGGCCTTAGGTATCCCCTGTATATATTTCAGACTTTTAATACTCTCTAGTTGATTATGAATAGACCAAGTGGGACAAGCTGGTGAAGAGAAGAATCAAACACTCTTTGGACCTGACGTAACAGAGGAGGCATGGTGGGGCTAGATTTCTGCAGGTTGTGTGTGCGTCCCTTCTGAGGATTGTACCTGGCAGAACAAGTTTGTGCAAACACATCCTCATGAGACTTCTCACAGGATTTGGGGGTGGGGGTGGTGGTCTTCTTATTTTTTTTTTTGCCAAGAGTACACTGCTAAGGAATTCAGTATATACATCAGCTAATACGACACCTTTAATTAAAAATAGTCGTATCTTGCACATTACAGTTCTCAGACTCTCCAGACATAAGGAGGTGCCTACTTCCATGTTTCCAAGAAGAAAGCATGTGGGAGAAAGTCGTGTTGCCCTTGCATTTTGGGAGTTGAAAAGCAAGTGACTCCGAGGAAAAGACAGTTTAGGCATATTGACCCTGATGCCAGAGGAAAAACTGGAATTCTTAGCTCGTTCATATTGAATTATGGAAAAGGCTGTGTTATAAAATCCATATATGTTAAGAAACCCAAACTTAAAACTCGTAAGAAATTCAGGATTTAGGTGAGTCCCCTCTCCCTCTCACCATACGCAGTCCGTCTTCATTATTTGCAGATGTCATGTTTGCAAATTCACCTGCTCTCTGAAATTTATTTGTAAGCCCAGAATCAACACTGTGAGTGCTTTCACGGTTACTCGCAGACATGCGCAAGAGGGTAAAAAATTGGAGTCGCCCCTCCCTCACCTCCCCAGTGGAGGTCGGAGGAGGTGATGCTCTGCCTCCTGGTTTCAGCTGTCATACTGGAAACAAGTGTCCTTTTTGTGATCTCTTCGGAGCCACGCTTTTTGCATTTCTGTGCTTTTCGTTGATTTCCCTGTTTTAAATGGCCCCCAAGCATCGTTGCTGAAGTGCTGTGTAGTGTTCCTAAGTGCAGGAAGGTTTCGATGTGCCTCACGGAGAAAGTAAGCACAGGTGTTTACGGGTGTAGATAAGCTTCTTTCAGACGTGCATTACAGTGCTGTTGGCCCTGGGTCCAGCGTTAACGAATCAGCAGGGTACATAAAGTAGGATGTCTTTCAAGAGAAAACAAGGTTAGTTGGTGAAAATGTTTCCAGAGTCTCGCGGGAACCTAACCCTGTATTTCCCCTGGGAATGATGGTTTGGTCTTCACTAATTCGACGTGCGCGGGGACTTGATACAACAGCACTACTGTGAATAATGAGATGAACTGTGCTTGCTTGAGGCCAGATAGGAGGAAGTGCAGAAAAGACAGTGTCACCATCGCCGTGGCAAACCAGTGAGGAGGATGGCAGTATGGCCACTCCTGCCCAGTTTCCTGTGATGGAGGGTGGCAGCTTTACTCAGGGAAGGTGAAATTTGTTCACAAAGTGCAACTAGGAAATAATGTTATTGATTTGCCACGGCAGTGAGAAGCTAGTGGGTGACTGATTCTTCCAGTGGCCCAGCTGGTGCCAAGCAAATATTCTCAGTGGCTGTGATTTATAGCAACATATAGGCCACATCCTGCATGATTACTGGGGTGCGTTGCCCAAAGTGTGACAAGCTGCTTCACGTGACAAAGTGAAAATTAGGCTTCATGGCAACGGTTTACTTACTTTTATTGTAAACAGTTGGACTCTGGTCGTTTTATTAAGCTTGTTACACAGACTATATGATAAAGGCATGCTGTTCTATCTGTATTAAATTGCTGTAAACTGAGCTGGAGCTAGCGTTAAGGTACAATTATTAATTTAAAGCTCTATCCTTTAGTTTTCCAGATTAGAGCAATTTGGGGACTTGAGAAGATTATGCATCCACTTCCTTGTAGACTAAAAATTTGTGAGAATTTGCGATCTGATCTGTCATTTCTGACCACACAACTACACAAAATTTAAGACACTTGAATTTATGTTTACCAAATTAGGTTATGTACGTTTACCCCTAGTTATAATCGTCTTTTCTCTACATGATAAAGCATTTGGGATTTGCACTAGTAATTGCTATACGTGTGTCTCCAAAGTTGATTTTGTCAAGCCCTGAAATTCTGGGGCTTATCTAGAAGTCAGAAGGCCTTCATCCACATAACTGGAATGTACTGCCTGAAGTAGAAGTGAACCCCTAGTTGGGGTGAGGAGGAGAGAAACAAACCAGGAACACGGATGGCTAAAGATGGATGATTCTGAAGTTTTCTTTCCAACTGGTAGAGATGAGAAAAAGCGGACATTGTCGTCTTACGTTGGCATGGTTGTTAAATATGCCCTTACAGCCACCGCTTCTCACATCTAGCCCTTAGGATACCTACCGGCTGGGATTGCCTTGTGTTGTCTGCTAGTTTTTCTGGTTTGCTAGTTGGGGAACAGTCCACTGGGAGTACAACAGATTGTGAAGTATTAATCACATGTGGCTGGTTTTTCTTTCTCTCTTTCTCTGTAGCTGAGATTGGGGATTTTGATGAAGCATCGGACAGAGAGCATTTAGCAAAAAATAAGTACATACCTCAGCAAGATGCACTAGAAGACAAAATTGTGGAATTTCACCATAACCACATGTAAGTCTCCTTCGTTGCTTCCTACTTGCTTTGAGCTCCTTCTCTCTGTCCTTCGACATACGTGGATACACACACACACACACACACACACACACACACACACACACACGTGACTTATTGGGAGGAAATATACAAAGGGTGAGGGAGGAGAGCGCAGAGGCTCAGTGAATGTTGTTTCTTATCCTGGACTATTGGTAACACAGGTTACCCACTCAAGACCAGACCTCTGGGCTCCTTGCTTGCTTTCCTGTGAGACCAGAGTAACACTGGAATTTAGGACACCCCGTGCTTTGGAGTAAAAGGAAGAGTATAAGACCAAGTAGCAGGAAATCAGGAAGAGGACATGATAACTAGGGACAGTATAAGAATATTGTGAAAATGGAGAACCTTTGTGCCATGTCCATTCTGGTTTTCTGTTTTGATCAATAAAATATTTTCAAAGCCTTCTCTGCTCCTTTTGTTTTCGTTGTTGTCTTTCAAGGAAGGCACTTGAGTCTTGGTGATAGTGGCCTTGACAGTGTTGAACTTTGCAAGTTTAGGGCTATTGTAAGTGACTGGAAACTTGTTTCAACATGGTCGTGTTTTGCTTTTATATGACCTTAAAGGAAACTCTTTGAGATTCCAAAAAACTGGCCGAGTTTGAGATAGACTTTTGGGGGTTTTGTGTTACACAAGCAATAGAGCTTTTGTTCCAGTTGCTCAACTTCGGATTATAATGAATGGGAGGCCGGGTGTCATCCGATCGGGTAGCCCCATTGTTGGTGATGAAATGCCTTTTTCTTTCCGAAGAGAAGATGCTTAATCTTGAATTCATAGACACGGAGAATTCAAATCTCCTGGCCTTTCTCCTGAATTTTTGTTTTGTCAGTGGACAAACACCCGCAGAATCGGATTTCCAGCTCCTGGAGATTGCCCGCAGGCTGGAGATGTACGGCGTCCGATTGCACCCAGCTAAGGACCGGGAAGGCACTAAGATCAACCTGGCTGTGGCCAACACGGGGATTCTAGTGTTTCAGGTAAGAGCGTTTAGAACCAGCTCGGTTCCCTTGGTGTTGCAGAGATAAGAGTTGGCCCTTCAACTCTGATTCCAAGTTGGGTGGTCCAGGCTAAGACCTCTGAGAGTTATTTTTAGGTGAACAGGGAAAAACAAACCTCATCTCAGGGTTTCCTGTTTCTGTCCGGACCCTCAGACTTGCAGATTTCATTTCCTTTGCTTTGCTCTGGTTGGGGAATCCAAGACTGCAGGTTTGTTTGCAGGTATTGACTTTGTAGGATCATAGAAATCCCTATCTCCGTGTTGACCTAACTTTGAACATAGTATAATGGAATCAAGATTTCAGATCCCCAATATAAACACCTTTTTCACACTTTCCCATGATAGTCATCTGTTTTTTTTAACCTAATTTGGGTTTTTTTTTAACCTGATTTGGGTTTTACCTAAGTTAGCTTCTTTGTGGTTTCACATTTACCTAACTTAGAAGATGTGGCAGTTTTATAAATTCACAGAAGCTATGTCCATGTCCTGCTGTAATTTTGCAGCTACGCACATACTGCTCTTGGACCCTTACCTGTGTTTTACATGAGGACACAGCACTCTGCACTCTGAAGCGTGTGCACCCTTGATCACGCTGCCGCTGTACTGCCATTGATTGATGCATCTCTTTTTCTTGACAATTTCATTGAATTATTACTGACATGCAATTAAGTGCACACATTTAAAGCATGCTGTTCTTAAATACGTATAAGTTCTTAAATATGTATATCCTGTGAAACCGTCAGTGAAATCAAGACAGTGAACATATTCATCACCCCAAAGGTTTCCTCAAGACTTTTTTCTTTTTTTGTATTGAAGTCGTTGGTTCACAATATAATATTAGTTTCAGGTACATGACATAGTGATTGAATAGTTTATAGGTTATACTCCATTTAAAGTTGTTATAAAATATTGCCTAGTAATAAACTATAATGGAAAAGAATTTTTTAAAGACTATAGATGTTTACATATATATATATAAATATATATAACAGAATCATTTTGCTGTACACCTGAAACTTACCCAGTATTGTAAATCAACTATACTTCAATTAAAAAAAAAATGATACCTAATTTAAAAAAGAATAGGTTATATATATATATATATATATATATATATATATATATATAGCCTAGATTCCCTGTGCTGTACAATATATCCCTCAAGGCTTTCTCTTTTAAACAAAAGTGCTTTGGTTTCAAAGGGGTATGAAGAAAGCATCTGACCCTATTTCATCTCATGAAATAGGGTCAGATTTCACCCAGTTTTGAAGGTGTAAATAGGTGCATGACCTAAAACTCTTTTTTTGAGCTTTGCCAGATTGGGTTACATTTCCCCCTTCGTATTTTACCAAAGTAACCCCAGTGATTCTTTGCTCCTGTATCAGATGTTTATGACGGACAGTAATTACCAAAGCGTTCGTGTCCCAAGAGAAGTTGAAGTTGGGTTTCCTATGGGACACTAGGAAGTGACATTTTGTGAGCAGCGTGGTATTTGAGGAGGTGACTGTTCCTAATACCCACTGACCTGCAGAAATAATCTAGGCGTCCCTGATGAGAAAAACAACAGTGAAACAATGTGGTTGTCAGTCCTACCATTCCACTTCAAAGTTAAAACCCTTAAACATTTCTAAAGATCATAGTCGGGGGAAGAGGTGCCTCACAATTGAATTAATTTGCTTGGATTGTGTTTGAGACACTTGAAGTGTTGAGAATTGTTCCGTAATGTCATCATATACAAGGACTGTATCTTGAAATTAATCTTCTTGCCTGTGCCTAATTGCTTCATTCTAACCAATTTAAACGAATGGTTCTGGTGTTCAAACGGGCTCGAGGAATTATAATTTCAGTTGAGAGGATGGCACAGATAGGAGCTGGTATCTGGAGACTCCCCACTGTGTCTCCCCCACTCCCACCTGGCGATCAAAGATGAGATGTGTGCGTCCCTCCCGGAGACTGTTCTCTGGCCTCAGAGACACACGGAGGGTGGGGTCTCCCCTCCCCGGCCCTGCTTGTGCTGTTGGAAGCAGAGCAGTGTGGACAGAGCAGGTGATCGCTAACCGCTGTGTTGCTTCTGTGGCTATAACAACAGCTGCTGGTTAAGGCACATGCCCGGGAATCTCATTCTGCTGCGGTAACCATGTGATTTCGAGCAAATTAAAATCCAGCCATGCTGCAGTTTCCACAGGTGTAGAATGAAGATAATAAATCCAGCTCCCGGGGTTCCGTGTAAGGCTTCACAAGATAAGGGCTGTAGAGGACTTGGGACAGTGCCTGGCGCTCGGCCCGTGATGGTCGCCAGTAGTTGTGGTGGTTGTCATGGTGTTTATTTTTATTTATCTTTCTCTGTATCAGCCCCTCGGCCAGCCTCTTCTCTCCCTGGAGGCAGACTTAATTTGAAGGCCAGATCATGTAATTAGTGAGAAACAATGATCCAGGAAGGGAATGGGGGTCATCCCTCAGTCGCAGAGCCCGGGAATTCTCCAGCAAGAGGCATTCTTAGGAGGGGGAGAACGTCAGCCCTCCTTTCAGCTCCCCGTGAGCAGAGCAAACCGACTTGCATGTTGCTTGTCATTCATTTCCCGGCTCACTGGCCGATACCTTTGTTCTCAGGGTTTTACGAAGATCAATGCCTTCAACTGGGCAAAGGTGCGGAAGCTGAGCTTCAAGAGGAAGCGCTTTCTCATCAAGCTCCGCCCAGATGTGAACGTAAGTGCCTCTCGGAAAAGAGGGGGAGACCAGTGAGCCCCCTCGGGGCGGGGCAGGTCCCGCTAGGGCTCAGGTGGAACCCACGGCCGGCAGCTCTCCAGGTGTCTGCCAGTCTGTACTGTGTATCCAGACGCTCGGTCCCTCCGCAGCTGTCCTCAGCAGTGGACAGAGGGCACAGATGTGTGCCCAGGGAGGGGTCACTTCCCTGTGCACCTACGGGCCGCCCCCTCCTGTGCAGCCGCCGTGTCTCCAGCCTCGGCCACCTCGACAGCCCGGTCAGCATCCTGCCGTGCTCCAGGTCTGTCCCTCCCCACCCAGGGGCGGTCCTGCTGTAGTCCCCAGCCCCTGACGGCGCACTCTCACGAGCTGACCCGGCCCCTCCCCTAGCACACTTCCCTCCCTCTAAAGATGTCGCTCTCGTGGCGCCAGGTCAGAGAAGGAAGAAAGCGTCTTCTCCATCTGCCATAAAACTAGGGATGGATGGGCGCCAGGGTGCTGATGTCCCCAACCAGAACTGGACTGCTTTCTCCCACGGGGGTAAAAAAAGATTATAAACGGCAGTCTAGGTTTATAGTCATTTGGTTACATTATGGATGAAATAGGTTTTTATGGCCTGATTTGGGAAGCAGTCACCCACTGGAAGTTGTTTTCTACGAGAACACACGTTTTGAGTCCAGAAGACTGGGTACTGCAGCACGACTCGTCTGTAAGTTGAGGCTGCACTACCGAGAACTGTGAGATTCTCCCCAAATGGCTGGAACCGCTGAGAATGTTAAGGGCTGTGGTAACATGTGTTTATATAATACGGTCACTTAAATTGAGAGCATTCAGTCTGGAAGTAGAAAATTACCGTATCCCCTTTCCCAAATCAAAGGACGTGAATTTTTCAGCCTTGGGTGATACTTCAGTGCTCCAGAAAAAATGTTCATTTCCTGTATGGTCCCTGGGGCCACCTGGAGGCTGAGCCATCTGCTTTTTGATGGAGAAAACGCTTAAGCACAATATTCAAAGTTGGCATGAACCATGGGGGAGAAAACAGAAAGAAGAAATGTGTTTCAGTTATTTTAAGGAGGCAGAAGAGGCATTTCAGTGCTTGGATATTTTTTCACGGAGGGAATGGAAGCCAAGTAAACAGCATTTGTTTATGATTTCTGTCAGAGGGAATGTTGTAACTTCTGCTGAGTATCCCCAGTTTCTGTGTGTTCCTCTAAGGAATTAAGTGGGGAAGAAAATGGTTGAACGATGATGACTGTATTTCGTCATGAGAAACAAATGTGTTTTACTAAATAGGTGGATTTATGGTCATGCTATAATAAAATACACAATTGAAATTTTATTGGACAAATTTGTTTTCTGCCCCCTTTCCCGTACTGTAACTGAACGTCTCTGGGTAATGGAAAAAACCAAAGTGTTATTTTCTCTTTCTAGAGCTCATACCAGGATACCTTGGAATTCCTAATGGCCAGTCGGGACTTCTGCAAATCCTTCTGGAAAATCTGTGTTGAACATCATGCCTTTTTTAGACTTTTTGAAGAGCCCAAACCGAAGCCAAAGCCTGTTCTGTTTAGCCGAGGGTCATCGTTTCGGTTCAGGTAAGGATTCTGCTTCACGTCTCTCCGTCTGCCATGTGGTCATTTTCCCCAAGACTTTCCTCGGGAAAGTTGGCTTCCAAGAGCTTTGGCTGATGGCGTGTTTGCCGGGTCATCGCAGAAGGCTCCTGGCAGCCCCTTGCTGTGTTCGGTTTGAACGTTAGGTAGCCACTAGGCAGTCTCCCCAGCCACAGACGACGCCTAGAGGAACTCCTCTAATTCAGGAAGGCTTTCCTTTCTCTGTAGAAGCAAAAGCACCTTGTTAGCACTTGCTGTAGCTTCACCGAATGCTCTGTAGACCATCACTGCCCATCACTGGTTCAATTTCTCACTCATTCTTTCAACCAGTCTTCGAGTGTCTGCCCATCACTGGTTCAATTTCTCACTCATTCTTTCAACCAATCTTCGAGTGTCTACTGCATGTCAGATTCTGCTCTAGGTGTTGGGGGTGCACTGTGAACAGAGCTATCCCTGCCTTCATGAAGTGTACAGGCTCCTGGGATGGTTGCTTAATAATCAAACGCAGAATCGTTAAGTTGTTGAGTTCACTGAACTTTTTCTGTCGTGTGTAAGGGAAATATCAGGAGACAGAATGGACGCAAAAGCGCAGTTTCTCTTGGGACTGCCTTCATCCCGGGCTAGCCGAGAAAACTCCCGCGTCTCCCAGCTGTGGGAGGGAGGCAGGATGGTGGAGGGCTGTGCTGAGTGTGAAATGAGAATGCCTTGCTGTCTTCTCCGCCCCCTCTCGTGGTCTTCATTTTAGTGGCCGGACTCAGAAGCAGGTTCTCGACTATGTGAAAGAAGGAGGACATAAGAAGGTGCAGTTTGAAAGGTAAGAGAAACGTCAGTGCCACTTGCGGTTTGAGAGGAGTCGTTCTCTGCAGGCAGTGGTGCTCTAAGCGGCCAAGCATCGCTCCCCCCAGGCCCGGTGAGCTAGAGAATCGCTGCCGCCCGGTCAGTCTCGGCCGGTTCAGTGTTAGGAACAGCTGAGGCCCGGGGGACACTGAACTCCAGGGTGAAAGGAAGCCAGCAGAGGGCAGGGATGCAAGAGGAACACGAGCTGACAGAGGGGGTAAAGCGCTGTAAAAACCTACTCACCGGTGAGTCCTTAAATATTTGGGGATTTGAATTGGAAGTATTTCTATAAACTTTTTTTTTTTAAATTGGAAAAATTGCAAACCCTTTTCTTTAGGTTTTTTTTAAATTAATTTTTATTGGAGTGTAGTTGATTTACAATGTTGTGTTAGTTTCAGGGGTACAGCAAAGTGAATCAGTTATACACATATCCACCCTTTTTAGATTCTATTCCCACATAGGTCATTACAGAGTACTGAGGAGAGTTCTATAAACTTTTAAATTCAGTAACGTTTGATTGAAGAGAAACAGGATTTATTGCTGCTGTTAGCAAATGCTGATAGCTCTTATTGTATGCCAGGCACTGTTCCAAGCCCTTTAGACATAGGAACTCATGGAGTCTTCATACCTGCTCTGTGAGGTCCGTGCTATTTTATTTCCTTTTTAAAGATGGAGACATGGCAGCTCAAAGATGTTGAGTAACTCGCCCAGGTCTCAGAGCTGGTAAGTGGGCCCTGGTCATCCAACTCCAGAGCTCACTGCCCTTCAGCACTGCTCTGCCCAGAGGGACTAAAAGAAAAGGGTACAGGGGTGAAGGGATGGTGCGCCAGTGACTGTTCAGTTGCAAGTGTTTGTTTTAATGGTTTTCTTTTTTCAGTTTAACACATTTAAAAATTACAATAAAGCACAGAGGATACAGCAAACACCCATGTTCCTAGTACTTAGAATTAACTAGTCACATTTTAACATTGGTTTCTAGGATTTTATTTCTTATTCCCTTATTTGCAGCTATCGTGGTGACAGATGTAGTGAAAACCCCCTTTAACCAACAGCCTTCGTTACTTCCCTCCTTCCCTCCCCAGAGGCAACAACTACCTAATTCCTGTTACTTCTATTAGAAATATTCATGCACCCAAAAAGAACAGGCAGAATTGCTCTGGGGGTGTCCTTTTTCATTTATATAATCAGTATTACACTGTACGTAATCATGCGTCTTGCTTTTTAAAGCTGCCCTGATTTTGAGATCTATCTTAAGCATTTTATGGTATTGTGAAAGTGTTACCTTTCAGGTGTCTGATTCCCTGTTGAGAAACATTCAGGTTGTTTGGTGTTTTGTTTTGCTTTTGCTGAAACAAATGTGCTGCCTTGACCACCCTTGTATATTTCTCCTGATGGAGGTCTGGGGTCATTTTTCCCTCCCTGTACATAGAAATGTAACGTTCAGAAGGTTATCTGTACGCTTATCTAGATGTAGCAGAGCAAACCCCATCATTTTCCCGGACAATCCACGATTAATCTTTTGGGGATCGTATAAGAAGGGGTCTGCCTCTCTCTGACTCAGAATGTGCGTGCTCCGGAGCCTTGGTGTGTTACTTTGGAGTATTTTAAAGAAAAGCTGGATGGACATTGGAATTTAATCTCTATATTTATGCGGTTTCATGTGTTTGAGTACCTGAAAAGTTTCTCATGCTTGTCCCCTGGGAAGCTGGGGACCGACACACTAAGGGAAGGAAAAGATTAAAGGGAAGATGTTGGTGGCATTAAAAACCAGTTTCTTCTACTGTGGAGTCTATAAATTCATTCCTGGGGCAGGGCCTTTTCTCTGAACTGAGCGCTGTGAAGGAGTAGCTCATTAGTGGCAGAGGCCTCTGTTGTAGAACTGATCTAGAAAGTCATTACCCAGAACACACCAATCGATTTCGTACTGTTAGGCCAGGGCTTGCAATTCAGAGCGTGCTCGGGCCCAGCCAGCTTCTCCCTCCCAATGACGTTTCCCGTAACTAGAGAGTTAGCGTTCGGTGGTAGTACTCCCGACCGGCTGGACCACTGCAGTGGGAGCTGGGAATGCTGAGAACGTTTTCAAGGCTGAAGCAACCCCCGAATCCTACGAGTGATACAGAAAGGGTGACTGGGTCTGTCTCCAGGGAGCATTTATCCAAACTCCTTCGGGTGCCTTCACTACTGGGGAATGCCTCATGCCGTTATTTTTCATGTGAAACCAATGAAAAAAAACCCAATTCACCTAACTTTAGTGCTCTCGTGTGATTTCTCCCAGGAAACACAGCAAGATTCACTCCATCAGAAGCCTTGCTACGCAGCCTGCAGAGCCGAACTCAGAAGTGCCAAAACAAGTCAGTGATGGTGGTAGTCACTCTTATAGCTGTTTTCCACCAGACGTCCTCTGCTGGGGACTGGCTTTCCTAGTCTGCTTTGTTGTTCTTCATCCTTCCACTTCGGGGTGTTTTCTGGAGGAGGCTCTAGCTGTGTGCCCTGGCTCTGACCAGACACGGGCTCTGTGCTTCTCGCCCTGGCCCGTATCCTTTCCCCTCCTCCCTCCCATGCCCTGGCCCCAGGGAAGTTTGCTCTATTGGCCTGAACTCAGCTTAGGGCTGGAACCATCCAGGGCCAGAGCTGAGCCCACCCTCCAGCTAAACGGCTGCGCTTGTGTGAAGAGATCGGGATTTAGCTCGGGGGTGACGGGTGTAGCTCCCCTCGGCTGCCAAGGTCAGAACCTTGCGCTGGCGCGGGACCGGACGGTGCGTTCCCAGGGCTCGTGTTACAGAGCGGCGACCACAGCTGGCAGCGAGACACAGCACCGCTCTCGCTCTGAGGGTGGCCAGGGCTCGTTTTCCCTGGAGTTGGTCTCTGGATGAGCTCTCAGGGTTTTCTCTACAAGAGAATGAGAACTTTGTTGGGAAAGAACATGAAGGCAGTCTCCCTGTGCGAATCCAGAGAGCCTGTAAGCTGCCCGTCCTGCCCTTAGGCATCGAAACAAAGACGTTTTTGTCATTTGTCTGAAATCCGTGTCAGCTCGCCTTTGGAGGTCCACGGTGCCTTTCCTCCTCCGCCTGCCCCCACCCCCTCAGGAAGTCAGTCCCCTGTGGGCCGGAAGGACCATCTTCTTCCATAGAAACTTGGGACACCCAAGAGGAGACTGCCGGTCCCGGAAAGCAGAGGCACTGCCTCACCTGTGCTGCCGGGGACCCCGCGCTGTCGGCTTCCACACCCTGAGAGAACGTTCTGGATGCTGACCAGACAGCCTCGGGAGTGCCCGATTCCTGACAGGGTGCTTTGTTCTAAGACCGGGGAGGGCAGGCCTTCTTTGGCGATCCTTGGCCACTCGATGCTTCAGGAGATGCCGTTAGGTTGGACTCCGCGTCTCTGTCTCTTCCAGCCGTGGTGTAACCTCTCCCTTTTCTCTTCGTCTCCCTCCCCCGTCTCTCGCGCACCCCCGCCCCACCCAGGCTCAGCAGAGCGCCAGCCTCACCTTCGGAGAAGGTGCCGCATCCCCGGGCGGCCAGAGCTGCCAGCCGGGAAGGGACCCGCCCGCTTCGGCCGATGAGCGCGGGCCACAGCGCAACCCCACTCCGCAGAGGAGCCCGGCGGGGAGCACGAAGGCAGACGGGGCCGGCAGGGCGGAGACGGAGGAAGAGGAGGAGGTCGCTAAGGACAGGACCCAGCAGAGTAGACCTCGGCCCCCGCAGCCAAGCACAGGTCCAGCATCCAGGGCTGCCCAAGGCAGCAACACTTCCATTCCTTTCATTGACTGCAGTGACGTAGACAGTGAATACGACCTCCTCAGGGAACAAGCGTCCCGGTCACGGTCCCAAACAAATGACAACTATGAGGGTGATTTGACCAGTGGTGTTTATCTGCTGTCCAGGGATGAGAGGCAAATAGAGGCTAGGCGCAGGGCTTCCCTTCACTCTGCGAAGTCCTCCCGGCCTCCTTCCAGAGAATTCCGCGATGATGATTCAGCAGACATCACCTTTGACATGAGTGGGAGCCCCAGACTCCCAAGACATAGCTCTCTGATAGATGAGATGTTCAGGACCTCAGGCGGTCACAGTCCCCTGGCCACCCCCTTGTCTCCCAGCAGCGGAAGTTCAAGTCCAAGTATGAGTTGGGACAGGACCGGGTCCCAAGGCTATGTTTCCGAAAACGCACATGACTATAGAGAGAGAAGTGTGGGAGGAGATCCTCTCCCAAGCCAGGGTCCTCGTGATGAAGACGGTTCCCCCGTCTTACAAAGGCCCCACTTAAGGAATCTGAGATATAATAAGTCAGAGACAGATCCACTCATTCTTAGCCAGGTAGCATCAAGCCCGAAGGCAGGGGATAGGTTTGATGGCCATGGAAAGGGAGGTCCAGCCGGCCCGGCCGCTTCGGAAGGTAGGACGCTGGCTAATGGTACACCTCTCGTGGGTCCGACCTCGAGGATCCCCATGGCGCAGTCAGCGTGTGCCCCTGGCAAGGCAGCCCAGCTGGCACCCCTGCAAATAACCGAGGGCTCCACCAGCAGTGGGACTGAATCCAGCGATTCAGACTCTGAACTGGCCAGCCCCCTGAGCCAGCCCCTCGTGTTTGGTAACCCAGCTGTGCTGAGTTCCCCCTCCGGCGTGAGGAGAAAGAAGTCCTTGGGTGGCCTGCCTTTGAATGAGGACGGAGAGGAGTATGAGTGAGGAGACCAGAGGGCGGGTCTTCAAGGGCTGGAAACCTGGAGTTATGCGTCCAGGGTTTCCCTGGAGATGCTCTGTCCTAGTGGCTTGTTAATTTCTAATCGACCTTTGTTAGAGGAGGTTTTAGGGCAGGCACATGCTTGGGTAGGGCACGCCTGGCTTCTCAGATCTTTCAGAAGGACAGAGTTTCACACATCACGACAAGTTACCAAGAACTTGTTTCTCTTTCTGGCTGAAGGCTAGGAAGACATCCTTTGTCATAAATCTGATCATGTGTATAGTGTACTGTATTTCCGTGGACATTTTCTGTGTATCTTCTGTTGTGTACACAGATCACCCTCCCATCTGGTTGATTATTGGGACGAAAGTATCACTGAGATCCCAGGAAAGGTGTGGGTTTTACTTTGAACCCCTTCTTTAAAAGGAGGGCTGCTTTGCTGCGCCTCATACAGCGAGGAATTGACAAAACTCAAGGCCAAAGGTCAGTCGGCTGCTAGTTGAAATGAAGTGTTGTTGAAATATTAGTTAATAAGACTAGGGAATATTTTAATTGGAAGCATTTGGGATGATTCTTTGCAGACTTCCTGTGAAATGATATAAATCTTCCTGAACTGGAATCGATATGAGATTGCTGGTTTGGTTTGGGTTTGCTTTCATGGGTCCAACGTTAGTTATGGTTGAAGAAGGTGTTGAAGAACCCTGGCCGTCAGAGCCTCTTGGTGAAACACAGAGATGCTGCTGAATAACGATGCAGGGTAGGTACTGTTGGCACCAGGAGGTTAGCAAACTCAAGCTTTCGCCTCTGAGTAGTGCGCAGTACCGAGAAGGGCTGTTTCCCGGTCTCGTTGCCCTTGGTGGATTTTTACGCACGTTCTTAACGTTCACACGCTCAGGAACAGTGTCTTCTGGCTGCTTCTCTGTGAAGAAAAAAAAAGTAGAAGTAGTGAGAGGTTTGGTTTCTTTTTAAATCTTACCATCTACACCAGTGCCTTTCACCCAGCGTTTCTGCATTTCAGATAGAAAAGCCTGGTTGGAACTTGCATTGCTTCTCAGCCTTAGCTGCACTTTGGAATCACCTGGGACATTTAAAAAATTGGTATTACCTGAGCCCTGACCCTAGAAATTTGGATCAAATTGGTCTGGAGTGCCCCTTGGGGTCCCCAGATGGCTCTGCTAGGCTGCCAGGGTCATTTCTGAGCCAGACGCTGTTGCCTTCTAGAATCTAGCGGAATGTGATGGAAGCGTCAGCTGAAATGTTGGCTTGCTTGCCGAGTAAGAAGAGCATCACCAATGAAATGCTTTTCTTCATGCCTGCTCTTTGGTACTTTTTAGTCTTTGGTACTTTTTTTAAAAAAAGATAAATTGTAGAATAAAAATTTTAGATCCTGAGTAACTACAAAATTATTGAAAAGAGTTGTAGTGATGATCCAGCCCTAAGGTGCCGCCACGCGAGTGGCCTTATTAAAACTCATCGTGTGGCTTTGTCACGGGCAAGAACTAAGCAAGTTTAGGGAAACAGTAGAATTTGGCCACAGTGTTGAATAAGCAGAAATATTGACAGACCCTGTGGTTCACACGTGACGCTCTGTCCACCTGAATGTCGAGAAGTTGATTTTAAAGATTCTGAAAACTTAATCCATTTTTACGCACATTTTTGCTTTATCTTCCTGATCATTTGATTCAGTGCATGGTTGATGAATCAAGTTGATTATCGGATAGCTTGAAAGATGTTCACTGAAGTAGTCTGTTCATCTTTTGCTTTATTTAGATTTACATGTTTAACAGAGTCACAGAATTTTGAAGCCAGAAGGGACCTTGGAGGTCACCTAGGTTAAACCTTTATTTATGGATGAGAAACCTTGTTCTGACGAAGGGAAGAGACTTCCCGTAGTCCTACAGCCGTTGCATGACAAATCTAAAACCAGAACCTTGGCCTCTGGGCTTCAGTGTTTTACTCTGTGTGACAGCTGGATGCACTAGGACCTTTTGAGTTCAGTATTTTATATTTTGAGACTCTTGTATGGATTAATAATTAAAATCATGTGGAGATCAGGAATCATGTAGACTTAGGTTATTACAGTCCATATTAGGTAGGAAGAACTACTGCTTTTTATATTGTGGGGTTTTTGCAGTTATAGCCCATTTTTGCCTATGCTGTTTTGAGCTTAGAGAAAGGTGTCAATTTGCTATATAAAAAAGTAGTCAAACGTGAGTTAAGCAGAGTCCCATGTGGAATCTGTGGTTTATTTGTGAAGGTGGTGTGTTCAAATGAGTCTTCTTTTTACCTCTAATCATACAGCAGTCTGATCATGAAATATGAATGAGCAGAAGGTATTAACTTAGCTGGCTTAGAATGTGAATCATCAGATGTAAACCCCCAAAGCAAAACATAGTCCAGTCATTATTTTGTTTTGCTTTTTCCCCGAAGAGATGATTTTTTATCCAAAGTGTTTCAAAAGCAGCTGATCAACGGTGACGTACCCAGTTCTATAGTGACGGGATTTTCCGCTTTTAGGGTCACTGGTAGAGTTTCTCTCCGCTTTGGTTTCGTACCAGCCAAGCAACTCAGTTTCTGCTTCTCAGTCAGTCTTTGTGAGGGTGGCAATTCTGATGTGATTAACAGTGCTTAAAAGAAAGGGGGTGTGGGGGTGGGGAAAGGTGTGTAGTTTTTTCAAAAGCCACCCATTCTGACGTGCTGGGAATATTCACTCATTGCCTCTGGGAGAGCTTTCCCTGCACGAGTAAAGAGAGCTGCTGAGTGAGTAAACCTAAACATGCTTTGAGTCTGAAGGTAGAGCCAGTCCACTGAGGTGAGGAGGTCAGAGAAAGCCAGCAGGCTGCATGCCACCCCCAGCGCCCCACACCTTCCATGCCTTCTGCCTGCTGTGAGACTCTGGTCCCCAAGTCCTTCCCTGGCCTCTGGAATCTCACTGTGTGGTATAAGAAGGGCAGGCACATGCCTGAAGTTGAACTAAGTGCAGGAAGATCAGAGATGGGGTTGGGTATGACCAATAGGCAGCAGAGATTAGAGACCTGTGAATTCTTTCAGACTTCCAAAGGGTTTCCCAAGACCTGTCAGAGCCAGTTTTTCTAAGGCAACAGCTAGTGTAGGGGTCGCCTGCATCAATAAGGAAGCCAGGTCTTCAGAGAGCGGCTGCTCCTGTGCAATGATGTCTTAAAGCTTTGGGTGGAAGACAAACCAAATATAGAAACAGAAATCTTCAAGCCACTCAGGGCGACTCTGGGGCCTGCGCGCATGAATATCTTTTGTTAGATAGTATTTCAAAACGTGTGAATTATACATCCTTTAGTGACTGATTTTTGTTGCTGGTTGTTCGGGCAGCATAAAAATGCAAGAAATTCTTGTAAAGAACTGCATTTAATGAGTTCCAGAACTTACAGTGGATTGCCCCAGCTCCTTGACCAGTCATCTGTATGCCATGATGCTATTTTATTAGACAGGCATTTAGTTAAAGGAAGTCTGGGAGCCAGATTCTTCTCCACATATGTGATTCGTATTTGGAAATTTCTCACAGATTTATCTCACCAAATGGTGCTTCTGTGGCCGGCACTTAAAAATGTGAATAATTTCCATTTGATGCTCCAGAACTTCTTTGAAGATTCAAACCAAGTAATGCTTTAAAATATATATATACACACACACACACACACACACACACACACACACACACACACACACACACACACACACACACACACACACACACACACACACACACTAGGACTGCAAACCCAAAATACAGCATGAGCCTCTTGAAATTTCCACCAAGTACACGAGATCCAGCCTGTCCTCAGTTGAATCAGAAACCCCACTTGCATCTTCGCTGTGGAGTCAGTTTGTTTGCGTTGGCAAGCAGTTCCTAAAAGAAGAAGCAATTAAAATATTAAGCTGCCATTTTAAATTTTGTTAAAGCTGTTGTGAATGTGCATCACCTCCCATTTTCATAGCTTTAACCAGTGTTCATAGGGTTTTAATCAACATTTTCCACTTAAAATGCTCTTCCCTATTTCAAC